GAAAACAATATGACAAGACTTTTAGACATTTGTTAATTCTGGTTGTCTTTGCTTAGCGTGCGGGGCTCATATTAATAATAAAAACCTGGAAGTTGACGCTGGAAGGAGACCAACGTCCTCTAACCGGTGGGTTGTTGGTTCCATCCCCCGTCTAGTATTCTTAATATTCAGTTGACTATACTTTCTGAGCATTTCATTAAAATCCATTCAGTGGTTTATTGTATATTTTCCCTTGCGATGGCAGTGGATGATAATAATTAAATAGCATACACAGAGCTGTCTGTCTGTGCTGTGACACTGGTAATTGTTCTGYAATACAGTCTGCTACAAAGAGTTATTCAGGACAGCATTTTGCYGTGAGTCAGACATAACTGCCATTTCATCAGCCATGCTGCTTGATACATAAAATATGTTTCATTTTGTTTTTAAAATGTTTCTCTGTGTTTTGACAGTATACGTTGGACCAAGAACCAAGACCAAGGTTTTTGTGTGTAAGGAGAAAAGGAGATACCGTAAACCCTCCTCAGTGTTGGTGGATTGTGGAAGGACCATCAGAGTTGGGAATGGCTTCAACTTCAGCTTTGCTTTTGTAGACAGTGGGAACATTTCCAACCTCTCTGTTCTCAGCCAGCCAGGAAAGGTGATGCAGGATTAAATATTTGCTTCGTTAAAGACGTTCACAAGAGAAATTTTCTGACTCCCAGCTCCTCATCGTTGCCGCGCTTGTACAGTTTTTCTGAAACTTTCATTGCAGCAACTTTGTCCAAGTAATCCTCATCTCCTCAAGGAGAAAGTACTCTTATAAAACTCAGTGCAATTACTGATTTTCYAAAGTGTTTAATAAAAAAAATAAATAAAACACAGCCACAGCCCACTAGACAGTCTCTTTGCCGCTTTTAGGGATCGTGGAGGGAATAGAGGTGATGGGGAATAAAACCTCCAGTCCATCAAAAGGTCCTGAAAATATCGGAACACAGGAGGAGGAGGGAATATTACTSGATGGAACAACAGGTAAACAACTTAATGTTATTTGTACAAAACAACTGTTATTTTGTTATGGTATGATAGCACCTCAGGGGATTTGGCTTCATATTCTGTATCAGTGCAAAATGGATATGTAGAGAAACTAAAAATATTTTTCTCTTTTTCAATAAAATGTTTCCATGGATGGTTCATCATATTTATTCTAATCTAGACTGGATTTATCATTAGCTGCTGTGTTTATATAATATGATCTTAAATCGCAAGTGTAGAGCCMCTTAGCGTTGTTCCCATGTCTGAGATTTGCCTCTTGGATGCAAATCTTTTATGTCCTGATGCATCTCAGTAATCCAGGTAAAAAATTAAAAAGAAAAAAATTGTATAGGTCTTCTGGACGGGTTCTTCTCTAATGAAACGTTTCGTCTCTCCTCCAAGAGACTTCTTCAGTCTGAGAGTTTCAGGCAAAATTCAGGCTTTTGTGATGTGACTGATACATCACATCACATTGCTATCGTTGACACCTAATTAACACTTATTGTTAACAGGGGGTGGAGTGAAACTGGCAATGGCCGCGCTGTAGGAGGGGGACAACTAAAAACGGAGGCCTCCACCTCTGTTTAACGATGGACGGTCTTTCTTCACAAAAATGGCTTCTTTTACTCCTCTCTCAAACCAACGTTCCTCTATATCAACACAGACGAGCTACATCTAATGGCCAGAACTCTGCAGTTTTCACTCATTTACAGGCCAGCAGTCACTCTTTCAGAGATGAGGATGTTCTCATTCTTGAWAGAGAGGAACGTTGGTTTGAGAGAGGAGTAAAAGAAGCCATTTTTGTGAAGAAAGACCGTCCATCATTAAACAGAGGTGGAGGCCTCCGTTTTCAGCTGTCCCCCTCCTACAGCGCGGCCATTGCCAGTATCACTCCACCCCCTGTTAACAATAAGTGTTAATTAGGTGTCAACGATAGCCATGTGATGTGAGTATCAGTCACATGGAGGCAGGGCTTAAAAGCCTGAATTTTGCCTGAAACTCTCAGACTGAAGAAGTCTCTTGGAGGAGAGACGAAACGTTTCATTAGAGAAGAACCCGTCCAGAAGACCTAYACAATTTTTTTCTTTTCAAATCTTTTATGAAGACCACTTCTGCTTAGACTTTTCTGAGTCTGGACAGTAGAYGGATATTCTGTGCTGGTGGCTCTGCTGAACTACTAATTCTGAAGAGAAAATAATGTGTTTTTAATGTACAGCACTRGTTTTCCTCAAGAAGCCACTGCAACTACTGGGTGAATCAAAAATCACAAGACACCCTTTTATTTCAGAAACGAAAGGGAAAATTACATAACTGAATACCCCAGCACGAATGGATGAGGGGACCTATCTTTGGAAAAACTTGTCCTTGATCCAGTWTGGCAACTTTTGAGTTAGTGGCAATGTTCTGGACATAACTTGGACAGAGTCTGATCTGAAATATTTACCTGTACAGTCCTTGCTGATGTTGCTAAACTACATTGTGTTTTGTTCAGTTATACCTGGTGTTGGTCATGTGACATGAAACCATTTTGTGCAACTTATGCAGCAGTTTGGTTGCTCCTCACCAGCTGTTTCKGTTTCAGTTAATGACTGTTTTACACAAAGGAAAATAATGCTCAAGAGCAACTTGTTTGGTGTAATTGGCTATTTTTATACATAAATATAATCCTACAGCCTTTCTGACTTTGTGTGTCTGTAAGATCTGTTGTTTTTTGGTTGTTGCACCAAAGGAGTTTCTTGGGATCTTTTTTCTGAAATCTCACTTTGCAAACATCTGCACATGTAGCTAGGTCTATGTGACAGCTCCATTTGTCCCCATTAGAAAACTTTAATAGATGTTAAAGGTGCTGATTTATCAAGATCCTAGATAACAAGGGTAAAATTGCTGGCCAAACTAAACAGCTGCCAAGCTATTAGTGCGTATGTTGCATGCAATTTATTAATATTGCATGTGCAGTTGTTATAAGGTGCAAAAGAGGTGAAGATCACCCTATTGAATTGAGAATTTTGTGTGTGCTACTGACTGTCATCAAGGAGGCAAATAATCCAGATGCAAGAAAATGCAGTGTTGGAAAGAGTTTTTTAAGGACAAGTGTTGGCAACTGTTGCTCTAGAGTCGCATGAGTAGCTCTTTCTGGCTTTGACCAAAAAWAAGTACTACTACTACTACTTATTACTACTACTACTCACTACTTATGTTTACTTTTTTAAACTGCTAATCTGCAGTGATTTGTTTTAKTTAAATTAAAGTGCACTAGGTTTATTTGATTACTTTTACGCAATGCAGCAATCCAGAGGGGAGCAGATAAAGCCGACTGACGTGGTGCAGGTAGATGGACCTCAGCCAGTTTGCACCTGCCTTTCAATGTGAGAAATATTAAGACATAAAAACAGCAACTTCAACCAGTTTCAACTTTGATAAATCACACCACAGTGCTACAGGTTGTTAGGTCCCTGTACAACCGGTGCCAGAGCTTGGTCCGTGTTACCGGTAGTAAGTAAGTAAAGTTTTATTTATAAAGCGCCTTTCACAGAAATATATTCATAAGGTGCTGTACAATTATTAACAAGGTAAAAATGGAGGAAAGATMAAATGAAACAGAATAAAACATGATAAAACATAAGCAATGTAATGAAACATCAAATCAGGATTAAATTCTAAAACTGTAACTCAGACACACGGTCWTTGCAGAGCAAAATATACAAAAATACAAAAAACATAGAGAATGGGGGAGAGAAAAATATGTTGTATGTTCATTAATAGAAAAACACAGTTGGCGAGCATTCACTATCGACTAGTAAGTCGGATTCATTTCCGGTGGGAGTTGGACTCCGCCAAGGTTGCCATTTGTCACCGATTCTGTTCATAATTTTTATGGACAGAATTTCTAGGAGCAGCCAAGGTGTTGAGGGGATCCTTTTTGGTGACCTTAGGAGCACATTTCTGCTCTTTGTGGATGATGTGGTCCTGTTGGCTTCATCAGATCCTGATCTCCAGCTCTCACWGGAGHGGTTCACAGCCGAGTGTGAAGCGGCCGGGATGAGGATCAGTGCCTCCAAATCCAAGACCATGGTCTTGAGCCGGAAAAAGGTAGGATGCCTTCTCCAGGTCGGGGAGGAGGTCCTGCCCCAAGTGGAGGAGTTAAAGAATCTCGGGGTCTTGTTCATAAATGAAGGAAGAATGGAGCGGGAGATTGACAGACGGATTGGTGCTGTGTCTGCAGTGATGTGGGCGCTGTACCAGTCTGTCGTGGTGAACCGACCGGTAAACCGGGAGCTGAGTCAGAAGGCAAAGCTCTCRGTTTACCAGTCGGTCTACTTTCCTACCCTCATCTATGGTCACAAGCTTTGGGTAGTGACCGAAAGAACGAGATCGCGGATACAAGCGGCCAAAACTAGTTTCCTTCGCAGGGTGTCTGGGTTCTACCTTAGACATAGGGTGAGAAGCTCRGTCATCTGGGAGGGACTCAGAGCGGAGCCGCTGCTCCTCCATGTGGAGAGGAGCCAGTTGAAGGGGCTCAGGCATCTGGTTAGGATGCCTCCTGGACGCCTCCCTGGTGAGGAGGCCCAGAGGAAGACCCAGGACACGCTGGAGGGACTATGTTTCTCGGCTGGCCTGGGGATTACCCCAGACAAGCTGGCCCAAGTGGCAGGGGAGAGGGAAGTCTGGGTCTCTCTGCTTAGGCTGCTGACCCTGCAACCCAACCCCGGATAAGTGGAAGAAAACGGATGGACGGACGGGTACACCACAGTGCTAAATTATTATATCTGCATATCCTCCTCCCAGTATTTTGCACACTGATAATTATCATATATTTTGCACATTCATAAAGGCAAACACACTAAATGGATTGCATCTGCTATTTTGCTTAATTGACAGATGCAATCTTTGGTGCACATAGTTAGATCGGCTTGAGCATCATTTTAAACACACAAACATCTGATAAATCAACCTGAGAGAAGGATCACATAATTAGACTTTTTTCGAGTCACGACGTTACTCACTGACCAGTTTATAACCCATTACCTTGAGTTTGGAGCTTTCTGTACAAAGTAAACACTGTTCCAGTTTATTCAATGACAGGAATTGGGCCAGAGTTACAGATTTAAAGACAGAGTGACATCACTTTATTAACTATTTACACTTTCTGTATGAAGAGCMGTCATGAGGTTGCTGGTGACTTCAGCTTTCTGAGTAAAAATTCTGACCAACTTTCATACTGAGAAACATGTTTTTCAGTGTCAGTAGTACTGATATATTAATCTTTTGCATTTATCTTATAATAATTTACGTTGTATGTTTTTACACACTTGTACTATGTAGCTGTATGATRCTAACACAGAGATTAGTGAAACTGAGCAGCTAATACAATTATCAGAGTTCACTAATGAAAGAAGTTGCAGGCACCTGAGTTATTAGATGAAATGTTAGATCAAATTAGTTTGTGTTTTCTTGTTTCTAGGTGGTGTCTCCACAGATGAAGCACAGACGCTTAGCCCTGAGCTGCTGGACTCTCTGCAGACCCTTGGAGAAAATGACAACTACACTCAGCTGCCTCAGTCCCTGCACCAGGTGTGTAAGTGAATGCCTGTGTGTGCACACACATGCTTAATTGAACATTTGAGAAATACATGGAAGAGCATATACCTTTGAGTCCCCAGTGAATCCATTGTTTCTTGATTTGAAGCACTGTGTGTGTGGGTTTGTGTAAAACATACAGCTGTTAACAATTCTTAAAGCAATACTTAGCACTAGTTCTTCAAACTGAGATTGTTCAAAAAGCCATCTAAAACAGTTCAAAAACTATTTCTCATAATCTTTCCACAAAACTCTACTGCAAAAGAACCAAACTTTAAAAACGTAATGTAACAAAAAGCGTCACTTATGAYTTAATCACACAAATATTTCTTATTTCCCCAACATTTGAGTTAATCTTGTTTCTGTTATTTCCTTGTTACTTGATTGATTGAAAAGAAGGGTTTAATAAACACATTTTTAACAGTGTTAAGTGTTATTTAACACTTACCAGTGGACGGAGCTTATTTAACCCTCCAGAATTGAGACAACACTGAGAAAAGGTAAAAACATTTGGGTGGAGAATACCCATAATGACATGGTAATCCAGTCTATAAACATTCATGTGACTCCATGTCTCACAGGTGGTCCTCTGGTTCCTGGTGGGATGTAGCCATGTGATCCTAAATGAGGAATTTCAAGCAAAAATATTTTGTTGAAAAGCCGGATTTGCTTTGGAAGAATCATTTGAAGCATTAAAAAGGGGTTTAAAATGACTTTACTTAATGTTAAAGAAATGGATCAGACATTTTGAAGTGGAACTCTGTGTTATGAACCTTTAATATCTTACATGTTGCAAATAAATTGCTCTTTGAACGACTTCCAGTTCAGCAACAGAGTTTATTTCTGATAGGACTAATGACCCAATACACAAGCAGCTAAGACTGGATTGGTGACATCCTAAAATATATTTAATCTCTAAGAGTTGTGGACTCAGTGGATTTTTTTAAAAAGCAGTTCAGCAAACTCACTTTTATAAGAAGAAATTAACATGGCTGAGTGGCATGAGTTTTAATGTTTATCTTATGAATGCAGGTTCACTCGGCAAGAAAATTGTGCTGATTTTTGGCCTGACTTTGTTCTTCCAACAATCTTGAGGATGTTCTGATTATTGTGACGGCTCTAAAGATAATTTTAGGAGATATTCCTGCTGTGTGCGGTGTGTTAAGAGGGATCTAGTCAGCYTGGAAGGACGCCAGGACCGATCCAACCTCAAATTGAGGATAGTCAACATGTTGGATTGTCTTGGCCAAAAATCTCAGCGTGTGGTGTCCCCCGAGGACAAACAAGCATGCAGCCTGTTGAACCTGTACACTGTAGGTTATATCTATGATTTTTTATTGTCGTGTGGGGYCTGTCAGTTGTGAACTAGGCATTGTGGTTTGTCAATGTGTTTTTCATACTCTGTTGTGTGCTATTCTGTTTTATTGTGAAAGCACTTTGTGGCTACTTGATGGTAAAAAATGTTATACAAATAAAGTGCACTTACTTACTTAATCTCTAAAGTTTTATAGCGATTTATACACATGCTATATTAAGAATTTTACAACTCCCATCAGTTTTTTCGTTACAAAGTTATGCCAGCAGCAATAAACTTGTATTCCTGCAGGAAGTGCCCTAGGCTGTAGCACATAAMTTCTGCTACCACTATTTGCGCTTGTAAATAGCTATTGAATTCTGTGCAAATAACCATGTAATGCCAAATTGAAGGCCATTTAAACATTTTCAAAATAGAAAAGTTTGAGGCTAGAAATGTTTTAAGATTTCAGTGATTGACTTTGGGCTTGGCTCCATTAGCTCAACAGTCCAGGCAGAATTAAACTCTGTTTCTTTATACTGTAAGAAAGTTCAATTTGAAGTTAGATACAGGAAACTGCTCAAGTACAGTTAAGAATGATTTTTATTTTTTTTTGCACAATGTTTGTGCACACATACCCCATGGGACCATAGTAATTCGGCTTCCGGTCAAGATCAAATGGCCCTGATCTCAAGATCTTACAGCCTCTTTAGATTCAAGTCATGCCCCGTGGTAGCCTGGTAAAAACCAGACCCTGTCCTTCACTTTGCTTCGTACAGAGGGTCTGGACTCGCTGCTAT